TTATTTAAAAAAAAAAAAAAAAAAAAAAAAAAAATAGATCGGAAGAGACTCTTTATAAGATTTCTGTGGAAAATGATAAATCAATCATTTCGATCGCTTTGGTAACTCTAGCGTTGAAACCTAACCTAAACCCTGAGTAAACCTTTTGATTCGTAGAAACTCTCATTGGATAAAAGGCGGAGAATTTCATTAAAAAGAATTTCGCATACGCAATCCCATAAACGAGCCGCGAAGGACTTGTCCCTCGGACTTCCGTTCGGAACAATAAATCACTCGGTAACGTAACTCGCTAGATCGAACTCGTTACAGAAGACACGTATCGAACGGGTCGGCAATTTGAATCGGTGCCGCGAGTGGCGCGGGAAAATATCGCCGGCAATTAGGGATAGCGGTATTACCGACCGACAGGCGAGGAAATTCTTTCATCCTTGACAAAGGGGGACCTTGCTAGAGCATTAGGTATTACGACCGCGCTTCGGAATGTGGAGCAACAGGCGGTACCTGCCAGCACGCAACGACGTTTATGCAAATCTCACCCCTCGTACGATTCGCTAGATCGCGAATTTTTACTCGCGAGTACTCGGCTCTCTTTTTGTAAACACGTGAAATCAGTAAGTGTCTGCCTCTTAAATAAACACAGTGATAATCACTGCCGATTTTCACAGAGATTAAGCGACGTCGAAAGTATAGGACATTTGTTAAAATATTTAATAATTAAACAAGACGGGGATCCAATGAAATTACCGATGTGACGACAATCGGTCATGGATAATTTGTTCAACTATAAATATATATATAGTTGATTCTCGGAAGTAAAGTTAATATTCGTACGTCATGTGTACGTGTTGTTATTTTAGTGAAACACGGATATTCCTACGCTCATAGATCAATAAATGTTACTCTTCCATATTTGCTGCACGTAACATCCCACGCAGAAAACACTTCCGTTTCGTACGTTCACGTATGAAATACTGCCGGGTTAATAGAACGAAGCAAACGTTCGCTTGCGTTTCGTTATTCCACCGTTTTATTGTGTCCGTAAAAAAATAATATTTGCGTAAATAAACCGCGGACGAATGATAAAGAGCCGATGCTTTATTATACTTTGTGTTACGTGTGAACGGTTTGCGGCTGTAAACTTGCCGTAAAACTGGTGAACACGGGCGTCGAGGCCGCGAGGAAATCGATCCCAATCGCGATTTCCTGCCACGAGCAACGCCACGAAAATTCGATCTTATCGACGGGGGCCCTCTTTCCGTTGCGAAAGCGGCGGGAGACGGCCGTGAAGGGGAGAGCAGAGAGCACACACCGTGATTTCGTATGGAATTCCGATGCAAATAATGGCGCGCCACGGCTGCTACCCCCTTCGATCGACCCGAGACGAGATCCATGATTTCTATTCTATCGCGTCTGACGAATTTCACACGATACGAAACGATAGAAAGCGGCTCGCCAATTTCGTGATTCTCGCGCGCGCTCGCTTCGTGTAGAATCGTCACGCCCTTCGCTTCGAAACCTGTATTGTTCGGCACGCCGATTCGTGTGGTATCGTGCGCGCCAAGTTGTGCTCCGTTGGAATGCCGATCGCGGGGACTCGCGTTTCCTTCAGGTATTTTTTCCATATTTTCGTTGCTTTTTTTTTTTTTTTTTTTTTTTTTAGAAACTGGTAAACTTTGAGACTTAAAGCGCTGATTTTTCACAAGAGGAATTTCTTGTTTGCAAAGATCGGTGTTGACACTTTTCTTGGTCGCAGTTAGACAGAAACGCAACAGCATAGAAAAATATTTAATTCGGATTCCTCTTGTTTGAGAACGCCGACGTCTTCGAAGGACTTGTTAATTTACTTTCTTTTTGTCGACTACTGAAAAATTTTTTAGAATATACTGGTCCGGTAAAATATCTTTTTTTTTTTTTGATCATTCCAAAATTACAATCGATTGTATATATTATATATTACATAAACAAACGCTGCGTCGAACATTCTTCATTGCTTCTCTCAATTCTTTGTCCTTTGATTTTGTAGTTTTTCGCGTCTGAGTTTCGAGGAAAGCACGAACTAGATTTTGACATTTCGAGTAACTTATCCCTAACATTCTTATCATAGTTCAAAGTTAAATGAGGCTTGCGAAATTGAGCGATCGTCTCGCAACTTTTGCAAAGACTTTATTTAAGACAAACAATTAAAAG